CTCACCTCCCCAATTTTGAGACTTTTCCAACAATAGTTCATGAACTCTCAGTGAGTTATCCCTCTGTACCCAGCTTACATAAGGCATAAAGCCAGACCACCTGAACTTACAGAACAGTCTGACTTAGCCAAGAATATACACAAACAGAGGGCACAACTACTTCTCTCTTCATTTGGGCATAAGCCCTGAACTGCTTAATATCCCAGTTATATATACTTCTCTGAATTTAGTCTTCTAAGGTTGCATAGGACTGAACTCCTCACGTTCAGTCTACCCCATCTTACCTCAAGTTTTATTCTTAATTCATACTCTCTTCAGGTTGTGATAAGCTATAGTTAGGCCCCCTGAACTTACAAAAGGGTCTGACTAGCCTGTTCTTAAACAATATAATACCAAAGTATATCCAAGTTATAACCTTCGAGTTCAAACATGTGCGAGTCATTGAGACAGACCCCCTGAACTTACAGAAGGATCTGCCTCTCTGCCAAACTCCTTTCTCCCTGATCCAGCGTGCATGGCCTTTGAGCTAGATCCCCTGAACTTACAGAGGGACTTATCTCTCTTGCCAAAGTCAGTCCTCTCTGAACCCTTATGTGCGCGGCTTTGAGCCAGATCCCCTGAACTTACAGAAGGACCCAACTCTTCGCCAAGTTCATTCCTCTCTGAATCATCATGTGCGTGGCCCCCTGAACTTACAGAAGGGCCAAGTTCCTTTTCAAAGCTACTCCCTCAGAATAAAACAGAAAGGGACTAAGCCACCTGAACTTACAGAACAGCTCAGTCACCTTGTTCAGAAACAAAGAAACAGAAGAAAAAAAAAACAAAGAAAATCAAGGCAACATAGGGTACTAAAACTTATCGAGTGCCCTAAGTCCCTGAAAACTTCAACCACAGTCAAACCTTCACAAGTCAGAGCAGTTAGGCCACCTGAACTTACAGAACAGCCTAACTCTCCACGCAAACCATAGCACTGGGTCTCCCTAAACTTATGGGGACCTCCCAGCCTCCAAAGCAATCAGACCCCCTGAATTTACAGAAGGGTCTGACTACTTCATGCATTACCAGAATGAAACACAGCACTGGGTTTCCCCAGCCTAAAGGACCCGGCCAAACTTCATGTATAACTGCCTCCCTCCCACCCTTCCCCCCAGATGCACCCCTTGTGCGATACATGTCTGCTTTCATACCATAAAGAAACTGAAACTTGAGATTAAGCATGCATTCCTTTAGCTTATCTGAGTTTAGATCCTGAAAGTCAGACAAAAGTCAACTATAGGATGCATGCACAGTACTCAACCAATACATAGAGAAAGATATAGATAGGGGTTGTATCTGGGTATATAGTGGAAAAAGAAAGTTACCTCTGAGTTCCCCGCCCCCAGAACTCCTCCTGAGTTCCGGCGGAGCTCCCGCAATCGGTGGGCTGACCTCCCACAAGGTCTTGCCGCGATCGTACGGGTTGCCAATCCCACCTGCC